CACACACACACACACCCTGGAAGCACGTGGTCTTCCCACTGAGACATAGCCATTCCTGCTTCCTCTCTCACCGGGCGATGGCTCCACCACTGCACCAGGCCCCTGTCCCCCCCGCTCACCCATCCACTGCTACTCCAAGGATGGGCAGCTACCTAGTGCCAGGCACACAGCCCGCAGGCCCAAGGTGGACTGCACTGATGTCAGCTACTCATTACTGGCGAGACTGCATGCTCAACCTCCAGACCTCAGATGCTTCCTCTGACCTCTTTCTTCCTGTCCCTAGCGACAGACACACAATATAGGGTGTTCTTAGAAGCTGACTGGAAAACTCCAGGGAGAAATCAGCCTAGCCTTTCCTTGTGGTTTGATATTCAAGAAACCTTCCCAAGACGCGCTGACATGAAATTCAACAATAAGCACTGAACAGACAACGCAAGCATTCTTCATTCTCCCAGCCTTGGGCCTGCCGGTCATCTGCCAACAAACGCCACTTCAGGATAAACAGCCCATTATCTGCTCTCACAGTGGCATAGAGGCCACAACAGCAGGCATCGTGCCATCCCCCTGTGCTGAGTCCCCCTGTGTTGAGCGCAGCACACCATGCTGCTCGCCTCCGTGCTCAGCGACACCGACGCCAGGCACAGTAGGCTTCTATGAGGGTCCCCGGGTCCCCACCACCAGGACGGCAGCTTTCAGCCCTGAGCAAGGAACACGGGGTACAGGGAAGAGGCTGCAGACCCCGTGAGCAAGACGTCCAAGGCAGAGAGAGGAGGACAGGGTGCAGCAGAGAATTCTAAACTGGCTCCCCTTGAACTTTCAGTGATTTTTCTGCCTCAGCCTCTCCAATACTGGGATTAGGCACGTACCACCATGCTTGACCGGGAATTTCCACACTTTAGAAAGAGATTAGAAAGCTTTTCCAATGTTCCTGATGTTTCCTTAAGTTCGAACTCAGTTGACATTTCTTAAAGTAACTGAGACCATGGGACACTTGGCTCATTTTGCAAGGTAAACATCTTTCAGAGCTTAGTCATTTATATAATTAGATTTCACTTCTTACTTCTATGCTGAGCAGCTCCTACAGGAAAATTAGAAATGCTCCTGAGGGCGCGTCCCCATTCATTCTGCAGCAGTGCTGTCCTCTCTACAGAAGGGAGAGGGAGAGGTGGCAGGGGGAGAGGCGGCAGGGGGAGAGGCGGCAGGGGGAGAGGCGGCAGGGGGAGAGGCGGCAGGGGGCCTCCCCGCAGCACCACTCAGGAACAGGAAAGGTGCTGGGGCAGCTTCCAAGAGGAAGAGGATCCACGAACAAAGGTGTCAGCTGGGGAAAGTCAGAGTGCAGGCCGCTGCAGTCACAAGGCCTGTCAACAGGCCAGTGACCTGCGGGAGACTTTGGAGCTGAGAGCGTGGTCTGTGCGCCTGGAAGGCAGAAGGTGAAGAGGCAGTGTGAGCTGAGGGAAAGCGAGACATGCGAGGTGGCACGTGACCATGTCACAGAGGCTGGAGGGCTGCGGGGCAGAGAGGGACACAAGGAAGGCGGGGAGCGGAGGGAAAATGAAAACCCGGAGCAAGTCAAGGAGCTACCAGTGGGACCCTAATACTTGAGAAGAATTCCATAGTTTAGTGCTAGTAAGATGACAGCCAAGTGGGGCTCCTCTCCTGGTCTGATGGAAGGGCAACATGGAACATTTAAAGTTTTAACTGCTAGCGAGTTTACAAACAAAACGAGCTGGGTGTGGTGGTGCTCATCTGTCATCTAATGCTGAGGGTGGCGGGACAAGAAAGCCACAAGTTCGAGTTCTGTCTGGGCAACCGAGCACCCCTGTGTCTCATAATTCAAATTAAAAAGAGCTGGGTGCTGCTCATGGGCCAAGCACCAGGTCTGAGCCCCAGCACTGCAAAAGAAAATCAAATCAAACAGCACCCTGAGTTCATAAAATAAATGCCCTTCTTTCTAGTTTTTTTTTTTTTTTTTTTTTTTTTTTAAGAAAACTCTTCCTGCAATCTGCATAGGGTCTCGGTGCCGTTCGTTGTGCCTGGCACCAGGCCTAGGGCCAGGCGGGACACACAGGCATCATCGGCCATGCGCAAGGAGATCTGTTCTCACAGTCACAGTTCTCACAGTCACAGCAGGAACTGCTGACACCACTACTCTCCTCTCAGAAAATCCTAGTGATGAATGCAGGATCAGCAATTTCAAAAGTTTACATTCAACAAAACTAAACAGTGTACAATGCACCTGTCTCCTGCCAGCATGGAGGCCTGGGCCTTCTCTCCAGACCTGGGAATCACCCCGGCAGGACAGAGCAGCAGAGAAGATAGCCTCACTCCCGCCTCTTCCTCCTGCTGGTTGCCCCCTCATCCCTAGGGGCCAGGCTTCGGCCCCCACAGATGCTCACTTTTGTATCCCTGGGCCGTAGATACACAGAAGAAGTCTGAGGCCATGGGGCCCTCCCATCACCGGGCTTCCTTAGGCTGTCTTGGAAGCCTGGCTGCGCTGGGTCGCTCGCCCGGCTGTGTTTGGGGTGAGGGGACTCCGTCTACAGTCTCTGCCCAGACAGCCCGAGACACCCCTGGCTGCACCCTGGGGCTGAATATTGACCCAGTGATAACATGTTTTCTTTCTCTACTATACGTTTTCTTTCTCTACTACCTTTGTGAAGGAGATTTCTCACTGGGAGAAAATTTTGTTTTTAACTGTAATTTCCCAACAGGGGAAATAATCTACAATCTTTTCTACTTAGCTGTAAGAAGTTCCAAACATTTTAAAAACACAAGATATACCTAACATTTTGGGACCTGGAAATAATTTATAAACACCAAAATCTAGATTTGCAATGTAATCCACTGTCCCCAGTTTTCTCTCCCTATAAAACTGCTTCTGCAGACACTCATGCAGGAGGTAGCAAGCATATGGAAAAGAAGAAGCAAAACTTAGGTAGGCAGGTCAGAAGGAAACCCTAAGAAAAACTCGTTCTCTGAAGAACACAACTTCCGGGCCCCAGTCAGTCACCCAAGGTGATCCTGTCATCACTTTGTGGGGAAATTTAGATTCCTTTCTTTCTGGACCTTTGCACCCAAAACTACTCTGAAATACTGTCCTGGAAGTCCCTAAACTGGCTTAATGAAAGTGAAACACAGGAACCTGATGCTGAGACTAAAGGGGCAGCTTGAGAGAGCACAGAGGAATTTGAAATTATCTTTCTAAAAAGTACGGGGCCCACACAGGGGCTTGCAGCCTCTGGCGGTGGGCCCTGTTTCCCGGGGTTTCCACCCCTCAAGAGAGGCATACGGGTTCCCATTCCAAGAATTTCTCTCCTCAGGGCCTGCACCCTCGCTCTTGGAGTCCACAAAAATAAAGCCCTTCTCCTGCCGTGTCCTGACGTGTCCCGAAACTCTTGTTCTGAACAGGACTCCACAGGCCTGCAGTCCCACTGGGTGATACTGGAGTCAGGAGGCCTATCGCAGCCTTGGTAGTCTGCATGGGCCCTGCCAGGTGACAACACTAATAACACGATGAGGGAGGAATGCACGTGAAGGAAGTGAAACTGGCAAAGTGGGTGTGCCCCACACGCTCCCTGGTCACCATGGCATTTCTCCCACTAGCCACCATATGGAATAGACCTGAGTGTCTGCAACCGGAAAAGTAGATAAAGAAAATACACTATGGATGCATGTGTGCGGAAAAATCCACATGCAAAACGGAACGCTTCTCAGCCTCGAGCAGCTGGCAGTCTGGTCATGTGGGGCAGGATGCGTAAACCCGGAAGACAATGCGCCAAGGGAAATAAGCCGGGCACGGGTATCGCACGGTCTCACTCAGCTGTGCAAGCTAAAGATGTGGAGCTCACAGACGCGGACAGTGACCTACAGCTCTGGGGCCTTGGGGTAGGAAGGCGAAGGTGGAATTATTCGCCAGAGGATACAAACTTCCATTCAATAAGGTGGGCAAGTTCTTTAGTCCACTGTACAGCATGGTGCCTGCAGACGAGACGAGACCAGCTCTGTGCACATCCTAAGTCTGGAATGCTGGCATTTAGGACCAGGACAGTATTAAGTGACCTAGACCCAAGTGAGTTCAGACTAACCCGGGGCAGGTAGTATGACTTTAATTCTCTTGAGCTAATGAGGGACCGGCAAAGGAACAGCCAGGGGAGGATACATGGTAATCACAGCGCCCTGCGCAAAG